CACATATGATAGTGATACACATATGATAGTGATACACATATGATAGTAATACACATGATAGTGATACACATATGATAGTGATACACATGATAGTAATACACATATAATAGTGATACACATATGATAGTGATACACATATGATAGTAATACACATATGATAGTGATACACATGATAGTGATACACATATGATGGTGATACACATATGATAGTAATACACATATGATAGTGATACACATGATAGTGATACACATATGATAGTAATACACATATGATAGTAATACACTCCAAACTTAACTAACACAACTATTTGTTGAAGCATGAATTTATTTTGTTACTTATTTAATAACCATATTTATTAACTTGAACAACTCCGACCAACTGCAACAGTTCTTAAGCTCCACATTTCCTCCCGCTGTATCTGGATAGAGCCTGCAGCACAAAGGACTTGCGGGAGGTCTGGGTGCCCCCCCACCCCAAGAAAATTTTGAATAAAGTAGATGTGATTTCCTACATTTTGGTGTATTTTAACGGGTTGTTAAACATCTACGTGCTTGTAAAAAAAAAAAAAAAAAGTTTTTTGGGGGAGACCCCCAAGCATCAGCTAGTGAATCCCGGCGACCCCAGTTTGAGAACCACTGTTCTAGAATTGCCCCTGATGTAAGGTTTTAATTACACAATTTTAATAATAATAATAGGTTGTGACTCATGATCTGAAGTGGGCCAGTCTGAGGCATGAAACTCTGAGCATGAGTCCCACTCCGGCCCTGTTGGCTTCTAACTGGAGTTCATAAGAGGAAGCACATCACCCCCACTCTGGCTTCACTCCACTGGCTGCTTGTTCATTTTAGAGTACATTTTAAGATTATTTTATTTGCTTCTAAAAGTTTAAATGGTCTTGCTCCATCCTACCTCTCTGAGCTGCTTCATACTCTCCTGCTCAGTGCCTCAGATCAGCTGATCAGCTGCTCCTGGAGGTGCCGAGGTCCAAACGGAGGCTCAGAGGGGACAGAGCTTTCTCTGTAGCTGCTCCAAGACTGTGGAACGATCTCCCTGTTCTTTCCATCAGACGAGCTCCTTCACAGTCCAGTTTAAAAACTCTTTTAAAAACACATTTTTACTCCTTTGTTTTCGGCACAGCCTGAAATTTGCTCCGCACTACTGTTTTTATTGTTTTTAATTAACTTAATGTTTTCTGTTTTATTATTTTCTGTGTTTATGTTCTTGATTTTATTTGTACAGCACTTTGCTGCTGCTGTGGTTGTTTTAAAGGGCTTTATAAATAAAGTATTATTATTATTGTAGGAGCTATTTGTCTAGTTTTTTGTTAAGTCTTTGAGTTTATAATTAGATTATTTTTAGGTTTGATTTAAATTTGTATTTTTGTTTAATTATAATTGTTTAGAATAAGTTTGTTTGTTAGTAATTTGTTTAGTTTATATATTTGATTGGGATGTGGGCACATTATAAATATGTAGGCTTTAGGGAGGTTTAGAGGCACGTGGGTGGTCATATGGTTTTTTACCAGTTGGAGGTGGAGCAACAAGCTGAGCAGTCATGCAGGATCTAGAGCAGGTGTGTCAGCAAGTGATCCTATGATATGTACCAAACTGTTTGGCTGCCAAAGGAAAATACCATTAGCTACATTTGGACCTTTTCCTTTCAACTGCGTAAACCAAAACCCACGGACAGAGCAACAAGTGACTATTTGAGTTACATTTGCCTTTTTGATTTGTTTGTTTTAGGTTTGCAAGGACAAATAGTCACTATAATAATAATAATAATAATAATAATAATAATAATAATAATAGTAATAATAATAATTATTATTATTATTATAAATTTGCAATCAACTGGTAGATCGCAATCGACATATTGGTTACACTGATTTAAAACACACACCAGGTAAATGGAGTAATGTTTTTAAAGTTGCAGCTGTAAGTTTCTTCAGAAACTATCATCCAAGATGGGGCATAGTGATACTTTTGTTTAAAAGACTCGCATATAAAACATGCCATTTTAATTACTCTTAAACACAATTTATAATGCGTGTGTGTGTGTGTGTGGGGGGGTAGTTTTTCACATTAATTGAAACTTGCCTTTAAGAAATCCTGAATGATTAAATATGAATGAAAAGATACATTCATATTTAATTCACAACTTTTATTTTCTAAAGTAACATCTCTTTTAGAGTTTTTTGTAATATCACATTTGAAGAACTTAGTGGGGGTTTTTTTTATTCTCGATGTGGCATTTTATGTATGACATTTTTTTTTTCTAAATGAAAATTTAGTATTATGTATCTGTATTATACCTTGACATTGTCTAGAGGAGAAAAAAAAGCAGTTTAAACAAAATAAAAAAAAATTTTCCTATGTGTGGAGATTAAAAGTATTCTCGATAATCAATTTCCACCTAAATTTTCATTAAAGACAACACCTTTCTTTTTGTTTGTCCTGAGCCTGATTCTGCTGAAGGTTTCTTCCTCATGAGGGAGTTTTTCCTTTCCACTGTCGCCTTCGTGCTTGCTCAAGATGAGAGTTCTGCGATGGATTTAAATTCAAAGCTGTCTGCTCCTCAGATAAATAGGATTAACTTATTATTTCTAGATATGAATATTTCTGTTAACTTATTATTTTTATTATATATGAATGTTTCTGTTCAGTGCCCTGAGATAACTTCTGTTGCGACTTGGTGCTAAATAAATACAGTAAATTGAATTGAATTATATTTTGGTACTTTGGACTTGCCGTAGCCTCTTTATGAGTGGCTGACGGGTAATGTAGTACAGTGGTAAACACGCGGTACGTCGTCTTGTTGCTGTGAAGTTTGCAGAAACATGGCGGGCATGGAGCTGCTGTCTGATCAGGGATACCGCCTGGATGGAAGAAAAGCCGCCGAGCTGCGGAAGGTTCAGGCCCGCATGGGTGTGTTCGCTCAGGCTGACGGTTCTGCGTATTTAGAGCAGGGAAACACGAAGGCTCTGGCTGTGGTTTACGGTCCACATGAAGTAAGTCACGTCCATGTTTGATGGAGCGCCATGGTAACTATTTCAGTAGTGATTGCAGTAACGAGGTGTCACTGAATGCACCGTGAAGTCACAACTCCTGTCTATGCCGCTACACAGCCAAAGACGTAGACACTACGTTTAATTTTTTTATTAATTTATTTTTAATACACCTCGTTGAGCGGGCTGGTCAGGCATAGACATATATACGTAGACGCCTCATTGATCGCTGAATCATACGTCAGCGTCGCTGCCATATTGAATGTGGCGAATGATAGGAGAAGATTCCTCATCGATTCAAAGTGGCAACCAATGTTCCCTGTAATTTTTCATGTGTCAGGGTAAAACCACCAGCTCCCTGAGCACACCGAGGACCACTGTGCAACACGCTGTGGCCACACATTCACATTTTGTACAATGACGTGTGCTATAGCTTGAGTGTAAATTACTGCAACTCTTTCTTGGTAAAATATCTAATTACATAGTTTTTGATTAGCATTTCTACTACCCATAAATTATCTAGTAGTAACATCATTTAATGATTAATATCCATAAATAAAAAAAATCTTAATTGTCACTAGATTATGCACAAATCTGACTTATATAAATTTTACCTTATGTTTCACGTCTGTCCTCGCTTCTCCAGTTCATGTTGTCCAGGTCGATGGCTCCATCTGCTTCTTGCTTCGACTTTAGCTGGTCCAAATGTGAAGAATGTCAAGACGATTTCTGGATGCTGTTTTGATGTGATCTATTAAACTAAATCCTTTTTCACAATGGCAGTGTCTGCTGATCCATAATCAAAACTGAGCTCAATGCTTCAACGTCAAATGCAGACTACTCCTTTAACTCATCCTCTGGAAAACGAGCATCCATGTGATCACAGAGCTTACTAATAAAAGGAGTCATCTCACCAATATTTCTGCCATCAGCTGATGAGGTCCCCATGGCCTCTTTGACACGGTCACTCCATTGTACAACCCAAACTCGCTGGCTACTTTGGCTTCGCTGCATGTTTTGCAGAGCAGACCTTTCACTCGAAAAATAAAATAAAATCTCACCCAGTTTCACCGTTTGTTCTTCTTTTTGTACATACTCTGACAACATACTCTGACAGCCATTCCTTCTTAAAAGAACCGCATTTCCTTTTTTACTTTAGCTTGGTGAGTGGACGTGTCACTGCCCGTTCGTTTCGCCATGATAAGAGTTTAGCGTTTGCATCTCTCATCTCCGCTGCACTGTTGTTACCTAGCTAACGTATGTGCTGTAACTTTGCGTTACGCAAGTTACGGCACATGCACAAGTGGTGCATGTGCCATAACGCAAGCACTGTCAAGTCTATGATTGTCTCAGAAATTATTGCGATAAACGATAATATTGTTTGAAATTTGACGATAATTAGTCATTATTGTCAAATTTAAGAAGAAATGTTAATTTGTTTTGAGTGTAGTATCTTTTTTTGACCACCAGATGGCAGGATAAGACTGTCTGAACCGAAGGATGGATAGTGAGGGAGCGAGCAGCGTTTCTCTTTAAGAAAAATGGGAGAGAGGCCCCTTGACGTGACATGGGCTGTCTCCCACAGGTCTCTCCTTTTTTTTTGGTTCTCAAAATGGTGGACGCTCAGTGTGGTTTGAGTTCTTTAGCGTAGCATTTTTCACACAAAACCTTTAATTTAAAAAAATCAGTAAACAAGTTCTCAGCTTCTTTTTGCAGAGAAAAAACAACTTTTTAAATGAAGGCACGGGTTTCTACTGTGAATTTTGGTGCTTCGACAATAGGAGGTTGTTTCCAGAGTTTGGCCTGTTAGCTTAGCTTGTAGCTTAGCTTCTCAGCTTTGCTGCTTTTACCATACACATTATTTATGTCTGTGCTTTTAATGATCCAAACATGATAATTTGGACGGTTAAAATGGATTTTAAAGAGAAAAGAGAAAGGAAGGGGTCAGAAGAGCACCGGAGTTGAACCTTTTGTCATCCAGTGTCTTCAGTAGAAAGAGAGAGACGCGAAGAAACGATAAAGCCGATAAATGAAACTGAGGTTGAATTTTCATTTATCATGCGATTAATTGATTTATTGTTTATCGCGACAGGCCTAATTGAATCAAAATTCTATTTGGGGATATTTGAGAATCCACATCATTAAGATTTCCTGTTATTTAATTGTGTTGTACCTTTGTAATTATTTTTTTTTCTGCGTCAGCTGTTGGGAATAGATGTGTCATGTGAAATATTTTCCAAATAGCTTGTACTCAGCTTCTAAGTCAGTTCTCTGTTTGATTTCGCCTCCTGATAAGGTTACAGTATCGTTATAGTTTTGCATGCAGTCTTCACTCTTGCGTTCTGTGTTCCCTTTAGATGCGTGGTTCAAGAAGTCGGACCCTCCACGATCGAGCTGTTATCAACTGCCAGTACAGCATGGCCACGTTCAGCACAGCGGAGAGGAAGAGGAGGCCGCACGGAGACCGCAAATCCACTGAGATGAGCCTCCACCTGAAGCAGACGTTTGAAGCTGCTGTGATGACCCAGCTCTTCCCGCACTCCCAAATCGATATTTATGTCAAGGTACGTTTTAGACAGAAAGTTCACTGTGCCGCTTCATTCTTGGATACATATCCATAAAAAAAGCAAATGTCACCTTCAGATTCTACAGTCAGATGGAGGAAACTACAGCGTGTGTGTGAACGCTGCCACCCTGGCGGTGATTGACGCTGGGATCCCCATGCGAGACTACGTGTGCGCCTGCACCGTGGGCTTCGTCGATGAGACGCCCCTCGCCGACCTTTGCTATGCGGAGGAGAGCGGAGGAGTGAGCTCTTTGGCTTTAGCGTTGCTGCCCAGAGGAGGACAAATCGCTCTTGTTCAGATGGATGCCAGACTGCACCAGGATCACCTGGAATCACTGATTGAGGCTGCGATGTCTGCTTGTAAAGGTGTGAGCAAGGTGCTGGATGAGGTAGTGAGGCAGCATCTTCAAGAAGCCTCGGTGCTCACCAGAGAGTGATGAAAAGGTGAATATCTGAACTGAGAATCTGTTAACAGCTCTTTTTTTAATGTTATTTTAATTCATATTGTTTTGCTATATTTTTGTTGATACCTGAATGTAACAATAAACATATACATAAATTTAGTTGTATTTTTGTGTTTTTTTCTTGTCTTGCCTTGATTTTATTATGAATTATTGATGTAAAGGCTAAGGGTGGTAAACGGAGTAATGAAATTCAGCATACTGGAGCAGGAGTGCACCACCATGGTCATTACGTTATGTACAATTATTTTAGGTCTGGAAGCAACAAGAACGTGATGAGCAATATTTCAGATTGATTTTGAGAATGTAATACCTTGGGATATCTTTTTTTCGCTCTAGTGCATATACAGTACAGTATGTTCTCTTGTGTGTACCTGAAAGAACTATTCTGCATTTGTTTTGCTGCAAGCACGTGATGTTGAAAAAATTTATCACTTTTGACATTTTAGGGACTTTGTATATTGTCGAAACAATGATTTAAAAGATCACAAACTATTAAAAATCAAAATGTACGCTCTCTAATCATGTAAGTGGGTGCAAAAAATGCAACTTTGTAAAGCACTTTATAAATAACACTGTTGGCCAAAGTGCTGTACACTGACACATACAAGCATAAAAACCATAAAATAAAATGATAAAAAAAGAACTGCCAAAATCATAAAACAGCAAACAGTAAAAACAATAAAACTAATAACTTAAAAGAGTAAAACCAACATTTCAAGTTGATTTAAAAGCCAAAGATAGATTTATAAACAGGAAGTGAGTCAGCTTGTCTGACGTGCAAAGGCAGCTCATTTCACAGTTTCGGGGAAGTGACTGAAAATTTAATAGTAAAATAATAATTTTACATTATTCTTTTAATACAGAATACAATTATTTGCTTTGAACATTATGCTTAAATACAAAAATTGTTTTATTTTGAAGGGTAGATGGACGGAAGTCGGTCCGCAGCATTAGCGTTCCCGCAGGAACAAGGAACTTGCAAACAAGCGCCTCCTGAAGCGGCAAGTGAATGTGGCCATTCTTTGGTACGTTTATGCACATTTTAAGTAGCAAAAAACACAAGTTATTCTCATCAGGAACTCTTATCAATATAAAGTCAATCCTTTGAAATATTTACTATTTCGGGAAACCCGTGCGCTAACCAGCTAGCTGTGAAACAATGAATGACTGAGAATAGCTTGTTTTTTATGAAAATGTAAATAATGATAGATATAAGTTTATTGCAGCAATTTGAGAATAATCAAACTAATTATATTATGTTTTATTATTGCCCACACTAGCAGTAATAACGAATATGAATTATATTTGTTGGTTGTTCTTTGTGTGGTGTTGTTACTTCCGGCGATCCCAAGCTTCAAGATCTAGTTAAATCTGACACCATGGGACTGTTGTCAGACCCAAACAGAAGACGGGCTTTAATCAGCATGCTGACCCGCCTCAATGCTCCAATTTGGTAAGAATTAGATGTGTGTGATCTTGCACTTAAATAGTTTATCCATATGTCATTTAAAAATAAATACTGAATATGATTTGTCTCCCATCTCTACATGCCAGTGTGCTTTTCTACTGTGCCGGTGTGTGTTGGTTCATGGGGCTGGCATTTGAGCCATTCACCTTGCGGACATACATGTCAGAGAATGCCATGGGATCCACCATGGTGGAGGAGCGATTCCCTGCAGGGGAGAGAGCGATGGCCACAGCCAGAGAGTTTGCCGCTCACAAGAAGAAAGTTGGGTATGGTTTTGTTGTGTTATTTCACTTTTATCACTAATCACGTGTAATAATAATTGCACCTATTAAAAAAAAAAAAATTCTCTGCAGAGGGATGCCTGTGGATTGGTTAGTGAAAACCATGCAGGCTCGAGGGTTAGAGGTGTTCACCCAAAGCTTCTCTCGGACACTACCATTCCCGGATGAAAACAAGGAGAGATATGTAAGTGTTGCAGAAACCACTTAACATTTTTCCAGGTTTTCATTCTCCTCACTTTTTAAAAACGTATGTTTTTGTTCTATTTCTCCACAGATTGTGAAAGGCACAAATGTCTATGGGATCCTCCGTGCCCCCAGAGCTCCCCGCACTGAAGCCCTGGTGCTCAGTGCTCCGTGCAGTCCAGGCGATGAGAACAACCAGGCTGTGGGACTGCTGCTTGGCTTGGCACATTACTTTCGAAGTGAGTTCAACACTCGCCGCTGTCCCCAACACATCTAGACAACACTGAGTATTGCAGCTGTATTCTATGTTCACACTATTCTGTGGTTTATAGATCAGGTTTACTGGGCCAAGGACATCATCTTTCTTGTGAATGAGCATGATTTGATCGGCATGCAGGCCTGGCTGGAGGGTTACCACCACACAAACACTACAGGTTAAAATGAACTATAAATATATCTGAATTTATTGGGAATAAAAAAGGTTGTATTCTCCAATGGGTTTTTCTTCCATAATTGTTCTTCTAGGAATGGAATGGTCACCGTTACAAGGTCGTGGCGGTTCAATCCAGGCAGCCCTGTCCTTGGAGCTCAGCAGTGATGTCATCACCAGTTTGGACATAGTGCTGGAAGGACTTAATGGCCAGCTACCCAACCTGGATTTAGCAAACCTCTTCTATGCTTTCTGTCAGAAGATCGGGGTTCTTTGCACCATTCAGGGCAGGGTAAAGGCTTCTGAGCATGTGCAGGCTGTTTGGTCACCAGCGCAGCGAGATAAGGTTTGATTTTAACGTGTGGATGTTTTTCTAGCTGCAGAGAAATGACTGGGACAGTGTGTCAGGCTACAGCCATGCAGTCCAGACCATGATGCTGATGGTGATGAAGCAGGCCAGCGGGCGACCCTGGGGTGACCACGGCCTGTTCTTACGCTATCACATAGAGGCTGCCACTATCAGGGGCATCAACAGCTTCCGCCAGTATAAGACTGACGCTACCACTGTTGGCAGGTAAGAGTTATTGTTTTAGTTTGCCTCAATCCTAAGAAAGAAAAAAGTTTGAATGGTATATCTTGTTGTTGTTTTTTTTTCATTTATATATATATATATATATATATATATATATATATATATATATTGTAACCATGAAATATAACAATAGATGAATAATAACGTGGACAAGACAAAACATTAAATATACAATTCATTATTTCCTTATTTATAAATCTTTCAATATGAGCAAAATATTTGAATTGCTTGTTATTAACAGTAAATATAAATTAATTTGTATTTTTTGTCTTCTAGACTGTTAGAAGGAATGTATCGTAAGCTGAATAACCTCCTGGAGCGCCTTCACCAGTCTTATTTCTTCTACATCATGCCATCACTAACTCACTTTGTCTCGATTGGATACTATATGCCAGCCTTCGGCCTCCTTGCTGTCATCCTGCTCCTTCGTGTATCCTTGCATTAAAACAAGTGTATAATGTGATTGAACAGCTGCTGAAAACATGGGACAATAGATTAAATGTCAGCTGTGCGACCCTTAAGTTTTTACACCTTGACTACAATTCAGGCTTTAGACCTGTGGGTCCAGCTTGCGACTCCACCAGCTACAACTGAGGATGGCATGGCTGATGTTGAGCAGGTTCGACACAAAACAGTTTTAAATGACTAAGAAATGTATTTTCCCACTTATTCAAATATAGGTGTTTTTAAAAAATTAACTTTCTTTCCAGGATTCCAGTCCAGGTGTGCTGTCAGTGTTGACTCCTCTGGTGATCAGCCACCTGACTGGAGCAGCTTTGTATTTGCTGCCAGTCCGTTTTCAAGAGATGGCCGTCGAACACTTTCCCGTTTCCGAGACTGAAGCGGTCGTTCTTACAGCCATTGCTGTTTATACAGCCGGCCTGGCTTTGCCTCATAACACACACAGGTGATTACTGACATTACCTCTTTTCATTCTAAATACCTTCTAATGGTTTTGTCCTTCTCGTGAAAGCTTGGTTAGGCTGTTGTCCTGGCTCTGTTTTGACATGATCAAATTATTATAATACATTTTTGTCTTTGCACAGATTTTTAGGAAGGGGAATACTTTCTGGAGAACAACATTTCTATGGAAAACTATAATACAACTTAAATACAGACGAAGCTAAAAGAAACCTGTTGGAAATTTGCATAACCTGCATAATTGTAGTTACTGATGCTTTTGTCATTATGACACAAACATGTAGACTGGCTGGCACCTTAATCTGAGTTAATCCTGTGCAAACAACAGTGGATTGTTTGTTCCGATAAACTGATTTAAAAGAAATAAGTTTAACTTGTCAGCTGTCCCAACATAGTTGGTTATATATAAAACTGATTTGGGCGTTTTAAACTGACTTTTTATCATATTTATTTTAATTATACCCTGGTCTCATAAATACTGCTCTATGCACCTTTAACCAAAACAGTAACACCTTCCATCTCAACGCACAGAGACCATGATTCAACTGTAGAGCTGCATACCCACAACCTTTAAAACGAATTCTGAACATCATGCACCAAACAGAAAACCTTCCCACAATTGCTCCGTGAATAACAAATATCGTTTACAGCACATTGGAAACACTTGGGACCTTCCTTGTCAAATTCAGAAGAGAATTCAAAATCTTACTTCAAACCTACAAAGCTCTCAACAACCTAGCTCCATCTTATAGTAGAGATCTTATTGTTGCATATTTTCCTAACAGAGCACTTCTTGCTCAGACTGCAGGTTTACTCATGGTTCCTAGAGTTTCCCAAAGCAGAATGGGAGGACGATCTTCCAGTTATCAGGAACCAACTTCCAGTTTCTGTCCATGAGGCTGACACATTGTCCAGTTTTAAGACTGGGATTAAAACTTTCCTTTGTGATAAATCCTATAGTTAGGGTTGGTTTGTTATACTGCTATAGGCTTAGACTACTGAAGGACAAATTAACTTAATTTTCTCAAATTAATTGTTCAAATTGAATACCAAAGTCCATGCTCAGTAATCCAGGTATAAAATTCAGCAACTGTCCGTCAGGTCATCTGGACGGTTTCCAGATGACCTGACGGACAGTTGCTGGATTAAAATTGAATAATTTTAATTTGAGACTATTTTTATCTAAACGTGATTCTGGACCTGCCATTGTGTATCTGTTCCTCTCAAACCCAGCCGGTCGAAGCAGAAGGACGCTTGTCCTGAGCCTGGTTCTGCTAAAACGTTTCTTCCTCATGAGGGAGTTTTTCCTTTCCACTGTCGCCTTCGTGCTTGCTCGAGATGAGAGTCAGATAAATAGTATATTTTTTTTTATATATGAATGTTTCTGTTCAGTTTTCTGAGATGACTCCTGTTGTGACTTGGCGCTGTATAAACTGAACTGAATTAAAATAGTTGCTGCAGAGTAAATTGTATTGTTGTTCGCAGGTTAATTTCAGGTGAGGGGACTGAGCAGGGCTGGAAGGTGCTGAAGCTCGTCGCTGTGTTGTACCTGGCTGTGCTGCTGGGCTGCACGGCCCTCATTAACTTCTCCCTGGGCTTCATCCTGGCTCTCACCATGGTGCCGGTGGCTGCTTTTGTCACACCACATGTGCCTAAGTAATAACACCTGCTCAGAGTCTTTAAGTCATACTGCAGCCACACTAAAGTTAACCTTAACTTTTTTTTTGTCCTCTTTAGGGTTCTGTCAGCTGTTGTCCTCGTCATCCTCAGCCCAGCCTGCACACTTCTCTTCTCAGTGTTTTTCTTCAGAGAGCTGCAGGACATGCCCATCAGCTTCCAAGATGGCTGGTTGCTGTACCTTTCGGTCATTTCGCAGGGCATACTGGACCACTACTTGTTTGGCTCTCTGGTCTACCCCCTCATGGCCTTGATGGTGTATCCGTGTTGGCTGCTTTTTTGGAACATCCTCTTCTGGAAGTGACCTGCAGGTTCACCAAAGACTTCTGAATAAAACACCCTCTGAGATGATCTCAGGTTTATCAGGAAACTTGAAGAAGTGAAGCTTAAATCTACTGAAGAGTTTGGTAAAGAACAATTCTTTAAAGAGAATGAAATGACTCCCTTTTGTACATTTTGTTGTTCTTATTCTTTAAAACGAGGAGTAGAATTTGGATAACAAAAACAAATGTGTTGTGTGCTAAAAACTTTAAACAATATATAAACGGTTGAAGGGAAAATTAAATTTAGTGAAATATGTTTTCATGGAAATGTATTTGGTTGAACAATATGGCACTGCTTTGTTTTTATTATATTTATCAGATAAGATGGTAACAGAAACCAGAAAAAAACTACTTTTTTATGTTTGCACATCTCTGTTAATAAACCATTACTTTGTCAAATATTTTTGTTTTGAAAGTTATTTTG